TCCCCCCCCCCCCCGGCTTCACTAAGGGACCTCGGTCAGGCTCCGGGATGCAGCTGCTCCCACTCCGCTTCGCTTCCCGAAGGCGTGGCAGGAGAGGCAGCACAGCAGCCGCCCCAGCAGGAGGGGGAGAGGAGGCGCCGATTGGCCCGAGCGGAGGCGGGAGGTAGGGAGTTTCCCACAATGCCCCGCTGCAGCCAGTGCGGCCGCCGAGGGATGCTGCGGGAAGGGGCTGCCATTTGTAGCCGCCGAGACCAGCCGGTCGCTGCCGAGGGCTCGGGGGGGCCCGCGCCGGCCCCGATCGCCCTGCCCTGATCAGCCCAGGCTCTCCGGAGACTCCTTGGCCGCTTGCTTCCTCCCCCCTTCCCCGCCCCGCGCCTGCCTCTGCGCTCTTTCCCGGCTTCCCTCCGCGGGTCGCTGTCCGTTCAGCACCGCGATGAACCCTCCTTCGGCAGCCGGCGAGGAGAAAGGGGCTGCGGGAGGCGGCGGCACTGGCACTGCCTGCCGGGGAGCCGAAGGCGGTGGGGATCCGAGGAGCGCCCCCGCCGGGGCAGCCGGCGAACCGGAGGAGCCGGGACTTGCCGGTCAGAAAGAGGAATCCCTAGAAGAGAAACTGAAGAGTTTAACCTTCAGGAAACAGGTGTCCTACAGGTGGGTGAAGAGGGCAAAGCGTCAGGGGAGAGGTGGGGGGGGGAGCAGAAGAAGGAGGACGTTTTCCCCGGTGGGGGTTTTCACCCACATGAAGAAAGATGTGCGTAAGTGGCTCTCCTAAGTTCCCTAAGGGAAGGATCCTGGAAGTTTTCCTCTGGTCCCGCGCGATCCTATGAAGTTTCCCTCGCAATTGCTTTGGGAATTCACCTTAAGTATGGGTAAATTAAGTGCCTCCTTGGTTCACGTCCGGTAGATGCGCTCGTCTTCCTCCTGAGCTTATAATCGGGGTACTGATGCTTCCCACTATTTGTATGTGTGTGTGTGCGGGGGCTCCCTTTGAGAAACCTAGTCCACCTTTACTGGTCGTAAAGATGGGGCCCAGAAGGAGCGGTTATTTCGGATGACCTAATCCAGATCTCCAAGAGGGAGGGAGGTTGTTTGTATAAGGAGGCTCAAGGTGTCTGATGTGAGCCCCCGAACATATTAGGAGCAATCATGGTTCAATGTTTTTCCCCAAGGAGAAAACTGACAAACCCTTGAAAGATTTTGTGATTATTTCAGGAGGGCTAGCATGTTTTTGCGAGGCGATGTGATCCTTTGAACAACTCCCACTTTCTCCTTTAACAGCATCTACAGCCGATGTGGGCATATTTGCCCTGAGAGATAATCTTCCAGTTAAAATCAATGTACCAAGAATTGTCTGTGCAGTGCGTAATGTGTGTTTCTGTGTCAGGTCATTACGTGCAGAACAGCTGCTGCCCCAAATGTTGCAATTTTTTTGTCCTCTTCCAGAGCTGCAAAAAAAGGGAGGGGGGGCAGCTGATGCATTTGTATTGGCTCTTAAGATTAGGACTGCCCAGGACTTGACATTCTTTTGCACAGACCAAAATCTTCACTGACAGCATCTTCCAGGTAAGATGCTGAGAACAAAATACCATTGATGGGATGTGACGGTGGTTTCTTATGGAACTCTGTGTGTGCACGAGTGAGTGTGGGAGGGTGTGGGTGGGTAGGTGGGCAAGTAATATCTATTATGGGAAACATGTAATATACGTGATAATATAGCTGTTGAAGAGTTAACTTTGCGCTGTAGTGTCAATTTGTTATGCCAGAATCTCTGTGTAGGTAGGACTGTGACAGCAGCATGTAGGAGTTGGGCTGCCAGTATAATATTGACAGCAATGCTAGGGATTAGGGTGAGGATAGCACCGTAATTGTCTACTGCTTCCCCTCCCCCAAAAACCCAATCCAGCTTGGGCTAAAAAAGAAATCCTGATTTATTTACAATCCTTCTCCAAACAGACTTTGAAAAAGATGGTGCAGGGTTCAGAAGGTCTCTTTCTGGTTACAGGCTTAAGGATCGTCCAGGAGGCAGTTCAGAAGTGTCTGCTGATTGCTAGCAATGTGGTGCTATCCTTGAATTTGGATTCTTGTGTCGCAGAGTAGATAGAAATGAATACAATTCATAGTGTATTGGGGTGTGTGTTGAAGGCTTCCTTCTTTTGTGACACTGATCCCTTTGTCTAAAGCTGAAAGGTCTTCTGAAAATATGTCCCTGCATCAACATTCAGTATTTCACTGAATAAGTGTTAGCACAAAATTCTTGTTGAAGGCAACACTACATGTCCAGTTCTCTTTTTGAAAATCGAAGCTTTTCATCATCAGCCATAGGAATTAAATTACTATGCTTTTTAAAAAATGCTTTCAGTCTTCTCACTGGGCCCCAGCTTCATTATATGAAGTTTTGTAGATACTCTAAGGTGAATTCTGTTCATATAAATAGTTTCTGAATGTTATTCCATGAACACTAAATCACCAACAATCTCCGGAGTAAGAGATTCTAGAAGGAAGAAACCACGTATTCAGGAAAGAAAAATTCACTGGAAATTTCTTTGCATTCACACAGTAAAAAAAAAATAACTGAAGTGTGTTCAAAACACTGATAAAGATTCCCTGAAAAACTTGGGGCTGCCTTTCATCCCACTGTTTCCCTTCAAGAAAAGCAACAGTTTGTAGTAGCATAGTAAGAATAGGAAATAAGATGAATGAGGTCAGTGCAGAACTAACAAAAGCATAGAGATTATATGCTCCCTTAAATTAATTGTGCATTCAAAACAGTCTTCTTTTATTTAAAGTGGGAGTGGAAGTGAGGAAAAAGAGAACTCTAAAATTCAAACGCCTCTGAATTTTTTTTGGGGGGGGGTGTCATATCAATAAAGCTCTGGCATATAACAGTCTTATTAAAATGAGTGGAATAATGTACACAAAATCTCAAGGTTGCAATCTTAGTTTGGATAGTGTACTGTTGGTTTTCAGTGGGGGGTTTCTCTCTTTACTTTGTTTCTTTCAAGTTTTACCAGCTTTGTGTTTGGTTATGTCTAGATTATTTGGTATCCTTCTTTTCTTTCTCTCTCTCTCTTTTTTTAAAAGAAGTTTTGCATACACAATGGTGGCAGGATGCAATTGTTTGGGTCCTGGAGCTTCTTGTTCCAGGAAAAATATTCAGTCTAGAGACAGTACTTCTAAGTTTTTATGCTGACTGCTCGTTTTAGTCAACTTTTGTCTCTGTGGCTGAAGGTGCAAGAATGGGGTTTCCTAAATCAAACAATGCAATGTGGAGAAGGTTTATTTATGAGAGCGCTACTGCTTCCTGGACACATAGCCATCTGCAGAATACTTGACTTGGTCTATGGATGTGGACCATTTCTTTTGACCATGTAAACAAGAGACAGACAGTTGAGCTGATCAGTGTACAACCTGGAATGATTCACTCTCCGCTGACCATAGTAGGCAATGCAGAATGGTCAACCATCTCCAGAATATTCATTTTGTACATGTTATGCCCTGCTTTGCCTCCTGCTGGCTTCTCTTTTTGGAACAGATTTTGAAACAAAAGGGCCGCGCTGGTCTTTCTAGTTGTAGCCAATAGCAGTGCAACATAGAGAATTCTTCAGATGAGATGTTGACATAGGTAGGAGTGCCAGCTAGAATGTGATCCATGTAGGAAGATGGCGAAGCTAACAGAGACCTTCAGACAGTGATGATGATGATGATGATGATGATGATGATGATGATGATGATGATGATGATGATGATGATGATGATTGATGATGGTGGCAATGCCATGAATAGTGCCACACAAGGTGGCCTGTTCCATTACTGACTTTTACTGTTCTTCAACCCTGGGAAAAGAGGCAACAAAACAACCCCAAGCCATTCAAATGTTTCTCTTCTGTTACATTAAACCAGGTATGCAGAATGCGTTGCCCATGCCTCCTTCCTGTACAACCCACAGTCAAACAGAAAAGGAAAAGGCTGTGTGGTCTCTATACAGACTAAGAGTAAGGATGGGTAATGCCTTTATTGGAGCATTCCAAAATCAATCACAGGCAAGCTTTTGGCCCGCCCTGGTGAACTTGAAAGCTCACCTATTTTTTTTTAATGTTTTAGTGCCTTAATGCTTCTGAGTATTCTCTAACTGGAAATACCTGAAAAGGGTTGCCATGTCAAAATTGACTTGATGGTGTTATTATTAATTTGGTATTGTCAAACCTTACTTATAGATTCTGTCTGCTTACTCCAACATCTCCCCCCCCCGAAGAGTATCCAGAAAGCAAGTCATGAAATCCACAGATTTTCTTTCTTTCTTTCTTTCTTTCTTTCTTTCTTTCTTTCTTTCTTTCTTTCTTTCTTTCTTTCTTTCTTTCTTTCTTTCTTTCTTTCTTTCTTTCTTTCTTACTTACTTACTTCGCCCATTAGGGTGAAGCACTACTCTGGGTGGTTTGCAACATACATTAAAACAGCACCGAGAACAGTTAACTTCATGATGGCAAAACAGTGAGCAAAAGATTGAAATCAGACAGGGTTGGTGTGGAAAGCCTCCCTGAATAGCAAAGTTTTGAGCTGCATTCTGGATCTTAGCAGGGGTGGGGGCCAAGCAGAACTCCAGCAGGAGCTGGTTCCCCAACACTGGAGCCACTGCAAAGAAGGCCTGACCTCTCATGGAGGACCTCTGGGCCTCCCTCAGGGTGGCTATCTAGAGGAGTTTAATCCAAAAAGCTCTGGTGAGTTGGGCTTTATACGTGAACACCAAAGCCTCGAACGTGATATTTCTGCATTACTGCAGCCCAGCACCTAGTATACACAGATATTTTGCTCTTCAGCCTGGACGTTCTACTAGCCATGAAAGTGATATGGAATCTGGGTTTTTCGGGCTCTTTGGCTGTCCTCTGAAGATGCCGGCCACAGAGACTGGCGAAACATCAGGAAGAACAACCTTCAGAACACGGCCAAAGAGCCCGAAAAACCCCACAACAACCATTAGATCCTGGCTGTGAAAGCCTTTGCGAATATATGGAACCTATTTGTTCACCTCTCCCTGTGAGAAGCAGTAGTAGCAGCTTTGCCTGATTTCTCCCCTTTGGGGAGTGATGCTCTAACAAAGTTTCTTGGGTTCAGGTAGAAAGAAGCTGAGGTTAAAGGTGTCTTTGCCTGTTTCTGTAAGTGAGTAAATTAAGCTCGGTGCATGAAAAAGTTAGCTTATGTAGGGTTGCCAGATACACGGGTACTAAAAGGAGGACATAGAAAGACAAAAAGGAGGACAAAGGAGGACATAGTGAATATTTCATTTGAATCATTCCAGATTAAACCCACAATCAATACAATTTTATTACAATAGCTGCCAATAAATGTTTCTTAGTGAACCGACCAAGAAACAGTCATGTTCAAAATTAAAAATAAATTCAATGGAGGCTTTTTAAAAAAAATACCGGGGGTGGGTGGGCAGGTGGGGGAGGGGAAAGCCGGGGGAAGGGGGTCATTCCACCTCTCCCCCTCCCATCCAAAATTCTGACATAAAATATACAAAAGCCTGACATTTTATCTTTGCCTGCCTGATGGAGGACATTAGGCTAAAAAGGAGGACATGTCCTCCTTTTGCCTGACATCTGGCAACCCTAAGCTTATGGGATTCTGTGAACTATGGCTTTTCTTTTTTTAAA